CTAAAACACAATGTTTCTTTAAAATCAGTCCTTCATAATAATAGACTATTTGTTAGCCAGGAGAAAATCTTTGACCTCAGCAGTAGGGACCCATGTGGAATTCTAACGGCAGTAAATGTGCGTCTAGAAACTGTTGTATTACGGTTGAGAAAACATTGTGCCATAGTCTGATGGAGTTTTGTGTGCTAATTAATTCAGCCTAATTTTATATTATTTTCTGTATTATGTATGTTTGTTTGTGGTATGAACTGAAGACTGTAATAGTGGTCAGCAGTCAAAAGAAGGGTAAAGCCATTCATAGTGAAGCTAGGGAGGTGATAAATCATGTGAATCACCAGTGTAAACAAGAAACAATGGAGAAGTCTGATTTTGTCTATTTGCTGTGCAGATGAAGAACAGTGAACTGATGTGGAGTGTCAGTTGCAACAGTGAGATGGATTGAGCAGGACAGGAGAAAGAAATTTTGCAGAGTTAAAGCCACATAATTTTGAAAAGTTTCATATGTTCCCCCTATAATGTCTTCCCACTATACAAAGGTCAAAGTAACAGGAAGTACTTATTGGTCTGTGTTTTAATTAAATTTTCCTCAATCTTCATTATTAACATCAAATGATAGTTCTGGAAATATCTTTGGTATTGACTAATTTCCACAATTTTGTGACCTGTGAAACATGGGTTCATAACATTTAGGATAATGTGAACTATTTTGAGAAGAGTAATTTTAAATTGAAAGTGGTTTGAAGTTTGTATTAATCTTACTGTTCCTTGCATGATATGTTAACACAATACAGTCATAAGTGTTTTATGTGCTAGTTTTGCATTTAAAGATGCCATTGAATTTTTTAATTATGATTGTCAGCACATCACAACAGCTATAAAGTTTTTGCATATCATGCTGAAAGTTTTTGGTATCTGTAGTTTGTTATATCTACATCTATTTCTTATAATCAGAGATGATAGATTACTTGAAGACTCATACATTAACTGTTTTATTGTAGTAAGAAAGGGGTACAAGAGAGGATGTTTTCATTTACATCAGATGCAGTGTTTTATTATACCAATTAACAGTTGTGAAATGTCAAAAGGATTTTATGTAGCAAAAGTTATATATTGTCATGTTATTTGGCAAGCTAACATATGAAGCATTTGTATTTATTCTTTGTAGGATTTGTGTGCGAGGCCTCAAGATATCGATGCAATGACAGCTTGAATCGAGCAAATAAGCCTCCAAGTCTACCGCCACGTAGAGTAGCAAGACCTCATTCTCCTTGGCATGATGTTCCTAAAAATAATTCTCCTGTCTATGGTAACTTTCAAGATCTTGGCATAACTACTGGAATAAAAGAAGACTCTAAGATTAAAGAAACACTGGAGCCAATGAATGAAAAACAGTCAACAGCACAAGCTACTGAATGTGTTCAGGAGTTTCAAGATGAATATTTAGGTACACCTCGTGGTTTTGTATATGTTCAGAACAAGTGGAAAGCTGCAGAGAAGTCTGGTGAACAGCATGTTGACCAACCAGGAACTAAAGGAAAGCTGTTGTTCCAGAAGTCTCCACAAAGGGACACGTTTCCTGAGAAATGTAGCAGTACAGAAGTTAAGGAGAATCATGTGGGGAGTGAAGATGGCGATAGTTCAGGGAGTGATATTGTGAGCCATGAACATGAATGTGGTACAGAGGTTGTTGCAAGTACATACAGTTCTGATATTTATAGTGATGTTCACAAAGAGCATGTATCCACAAAAACAGTAATCAATAGCCTGAACTCACAAAATGATGAAGTAATGGACAGAGTTAGTGATTCAAATAATGTTGAGGATAAGAAGGGAGGTAATGCAGTAAATTGTGTAAAAGATGAAACAGACAAAGTAAATAATGTTAAATTGAAATGTAATGTTAATATTGAACAGAAAATAGGAAGTATAGAAACAAAACACCATGACGTGTCTGGTGACATAATTATTAATTACAGTAATGATGACCATAATAAGTTTAATATAAACACCACACATCAGAAATATCATTCAGATGACACAGTTGTAACTCTAAGAAAATCCCAAAGTGGTTCCATTTCTATGTGTAACAAACATGAAATGTTCCTTAAAGATACTAAAAACTGCGAAGTAGCAGTTAACTATGAGAGCAAAGAACTTCCGTCTAATGAGCTTCGTAATGAAAGAGACAGGAAAAATGGAACTGAAGACAATGTGTTTATCATGAATAATAACACTGTCTGCAGTAATATTTTTAGTATTTCAACAGATTCTTCAGCACAGCAAGAAACTAAAACTCTGTTTAATAATGTGTATAACCAGAACATGTTGAAAAGTGGAATTACTGAAGATGTTTGCAGCAGATCAGTAGACAGTGCAGAGACAGGAGGGTGTGAAGACGCAGTTCCTCGTTTGAATCGTCATTCGGATGAGCTGAACCTCTTACTAGCACAGCTGGCTGAGATCACATCTGCGCCTTTACTACCTCAGTGTGCAGCCACTAGTCTTGTTGACATTCCTAAGGGCAGGAAACCAAAGGCTCAAACTGACGAGTCTTCACAGCTTGATGCGACCCAGCCAAAATCGGTATGCAAATAGAAAGTTTGGTAAGAATTTTTTTTATATAATTGTAGGTCAGACAAGGTAAAGCAGCATTTATGAAGCTATGATCTTTCTTTGAAACCTACAGATGTTGGGTTGGCTTACTAATGACAGGGTGTCCCTAAAAGATATATACACACAGTCAATGAATGAAATAAAATACATTTTATTAAACTAAAATCATTTTAAATTAGTGAATTAGCGAATCTAGTGTAGGTGTTCAGAATGACCCCTGTTGGCTTTTTAGCACAGTTGGCAGCAAATAGTTTCAATACCAGTAAATATATAAACTTCTTTCACATAAGAATGGATTATATTGGTTATAATGGTATAACTGCTACTAAGCATGACTTTGGATCAGTATGAAACTGACAGGCAATGTGAGACCTATTGCCATGAAATCACTGTAACCAATAATTTTTAACTTTAAAAACATAGTAAATCAGACAGGTTCTTGGGGGAAAATTAATCAAAACTTTAATGTGTTTTATAAATGAGATTTTATTTATTATTTATCATTTCCTTTTTAAAATTCGCTTGCAGTTTATATAGCATTTATATAGCCTATGGATGTGGCTCATATTCATTAAATACAATGTCCCAAAAGGTTGTACACATATAATAACTTTAGTGGCCAGTTCTCAGTCAGTTGATCATTGCATTGATTCTGTATGTTGAAAACAGTAATGCAAAATTTCCTAGTTAACTGTGATACAGACCAGTTGTCCTACCATTAAAATTATTCTAATTATAATCCACTTTACAATTTTAGGGGATGGAGATTTGAAATGAAGTGTGGCTCTACCTCCTCTCCTTTAATTGACGTGGATTACGTTTTTCTGTCTGGTCAGATCTGGAATGAAATTTTGTAACAGTCTGTTAGTTGAACTTGTTGGGCATGTACAGTTAGTTAATTGCTAATGCCCTTTTATACACAGACCATTGTAATGCAACATGGGAGGAGGTGAGTTCATTTGAACTCATTATCCCATATTTCAGTTGTTCAAGATTTTGACATTTTATCAATTGTATATATTTTAATATTGACATATACAAATATTTAATTTACATTCAGTTTTAACAACTGATACCCATGGACTCTCTTGGTGGCATTATCTTGAGCAAAATTAACAGCACTAGAGATTAAGCATCCCTTTGACTTTAATCAAAATTTATCAATCCACGGACTGCCTGTGAATTGTCATTGTCTTTTATTAGGTCAATATAACTAACTCCCTTTTTGAGAAGGTTAAGTAAACTGAGCTAGTCAAAAAAATTTCCCATCTTTTATGGAACCCAGAGGTTTATTACCATGTTTACAGTAGACCACCACCAGTGCCTACCTTTCAACCTCATTTTCTTGAAGTCCATTTTAATGTTACAATTATTCTGTCTATGCCTGGGTGTTCTAAATGATCTTTTCCCTTGAGGCATTTTAACCAAAATTTTGTACACTTTCCTCATCTCCCCATCAATCACATTCTTACCTCATTTGAACATCCTAAAATATCTGGTGAAGAGTGCAGACTTTAGTGGTCCTTATTATGCAGTTTCATGTAGCTTCCCATCACTTCATCTGTCTTGGGGTTGAGATAATTTCCTAAGCACCTTATTTTCATTCTGTGTTCTTCCCTTAGTTAGAGACCAAGTTTTACATTCATACAGAACAACAGGAAAAGTTGTAGTGTGTACATTTGTAGTATCTAATTTATAGTATGCATGTTTTAGTCTCTACAGTTTAGAAGCAGACAGGAAGACAAAAGATTCTCAACTGCATTGTAACAAGAATTCTCTGAATTTAGTCTGCTCTTAATTTTTTGAATGCAATTTTAATTTGTTTCCATTGTTCACAAATATTTAAACTTTTCCACATTTTCAAAGCATTTATTAGCTATATTTAGATAATGATTTTGTATAAAAGCTTGGTGATGAGACATGATTATGTACTCAGGTATATCTGTGTTTACTACTAGTCCAGCTTTCTTACTGGCATCTAATGGGGCTTCTGTGTTTTATGTTTCCACTTAACAAATAATGTCATCAGTAGAGCCTAGAAGCTGTTGTGTCCCATTCAGTTCCACTCTCTCTTTGTCTTTTTCTTTGAACCTTCTTGATAACATATAAAGAAAAGTTGAGCTGGGATAGCTCAGTCAGTGTAGTGACTGGCTATGGACTGGACAATCAGGGTTCGATCCCCAGTGGGGGAGAGGATTTTTACTCTGTGTCCAGACTGGCTCTGGGGCCCACCCAGCCTCCTCTCCAATAGGCACCATGGTTCTTTCTGGGGGATAAAGCGCGGCTGAGGCGTGACACACCACTCACCCTGACCTAGTGCTGAGGTTAAGAATGAGTAGGAGCTATAACTCCTCTCCCCCCAAGCGCCTACATGGCATATAGTGCCACAGCTTTACTTTATGTTAAAGAAAAGTTGAAAAGTAGTGGTGCTTTAGACCATTTTGAATAAGAAATGCATTAGACAAATGTTTACCTATACATATTATAATGTAGGTTATATTTCATGATTTGAACTTTGTAGCTTATATCAATAATATTAAGAATATAGTTCTTACCCCAAAGAAAACACAACACCTCCATTACAAAGATAATTTGGTTAATGCTATTTAGAGAAATAATGACAGTTTATTCTGAGAATCATATGAAACTCGTAAATACATTTTGGGAAAGATGCAGGGGCTTATTGAGCATTGAAGTGGGTGGTGCATATAATTGCCATGGGTTTAAAATGTTAAATACATTTTAATTAAACTAACCAGTTTAATGGGTGTACCATATTCAATAAAAATTGTAGGCTTTTCTGAAATATGTAAGTAGCTGATGTGTTGTGCCAATTTTATTCTTATTTTTTATCTAGTATCTAATGAATGCAGAATATCTGATGAGTAGCTGATCGATTATGTTGAAATCCACACTGTGATTCCCAGTAATTTTGTCTACATGTGTGGTGAAATGTTGTATGTTGTTGGTAATAGTGTTATTTTTCCACAGTTAGTAGGATTAGTTTGAAGGCCATATGCAGTTTCATAGTGTATGATTCTGTATAATGAATAATATTAGTAGATTTATAAAGTTTTAAGTTAACAATCAAATGCCAGTTTAACAAATTTGTTAAAGAAATTTATTGAGTAATATATGAATCTATTTGAAATAATAAGTTAGTTAAATTTCCATGAAGTTTCTATATGTAAGAAAGGATGAATGTTACCTCATGTCTTTGATTTGAACTTCAGAAGATTTCTGATAATTCTTTGTTTTGAACAATCAATATAATTTATCTGCTGTATTATTGCATGTGACTAAGAACTGACGCTTGGAATTCTCATGAAAATAATTCAGTGAAAGAAGTAAAGTTTGCTTTGTACTTGTTATCAACTGGTACTAAGTGTTCTTCATGTGTGGTTTACTTTAATGTGTATGAATTATGTATTTTGACATTACTGTCTCTTTTCTTCATTAGTTTGTGTTGGGCCCCATAAGGAGGAGACGTCATTCAGATCCTGACTATGATGTGCCTCGTCCACATGGCTCACTACTGCATCTGTTGTCATCCAATAGAATGGCATCTCATTCTAGTGACCACAGCGAGTCGGGACAAGAAAGTGATGTCATACAGGCCACACGTTTCTTTGGAGATACAGAAAACTCAAGCAATTCTACTTGCTCCAGGTATCATATATTTTCCTTTAGGGAGTAGGAGAGAAGTATAAATTATTCTTACGAGTATGTGCGTGTAAGACTTTCTGTGAACTCACGGTTCATGACTATAATATTTGTTTAACAGAAACAAAATATTCTTACTTTGTGCCCTGCTAAAGAATAAAATATTTGTCTGCAGCTAATATTAATTGCAAATATCGGGATATTTGTTTATTATGGGGTTGACCCTCTTCTAGTCTAAATACTTGAAAGCACTTTCATGTAAATCATCTGTCAGAAGTATTCATATTTTTTTTATCCTGTAGTTACTTCTGATGTTTTAGTAGTAGGTTGTATGTTTTGTTGGGGAAATATTCCATTTGCATATTGCCTCCAGTTTGTTGGTTATCTTAATGTGGAATAATATAAATATAACTTTTTAAGTAAGTGGTGAAATAATTGGGTAAAATCTGGTATTATAACCAGAATAAGACTGAGGTAGTTTAGTTTGGTCGCCCTTGGTGGACTAGTGGTTAGTGTGCTCGCCACTGGACCCAAGGTTCGCAGCTTCAAGGATTTTTAAGGGTGATAAAAACCTTACGAGCATGATACGAGATGTTTCGTGAGCAAAATTCAGTGGCCATTTCTCACCCAAGTCTCCTGATTTACTGCTAGATGGCTCTGGCAGTTAAATCAGGATTGAGTAGAAATTGTGCAGAGGCAGTGGGCTTGTCACTCACTACTCATAAATGCGCGCTTCAAAAGACCAAGAATCCTCCTAAGTGGGGAGGTCATGGCCCAAAAACGGGTTGAAGCACCAGGTGATGAAGATAGTTTAGTTTGTACTGTAAACGTTTTTGTAAGTTTAAAACACTGCTGTAATAATTACATTTCTTGCAGCTTAAGCCTGAGGCACAGTGTGATATCAGAAGTTGATGACCAATCAGATATGAGCTACTATATAAGCATGGCTCCTGACTCCTTAGAAGTGCCTCTAAACAAAAATGTGGAAGGAAACGTGTAATCTACAAAGAAGATTTTAACAGATGATTTATACTAAAACTTGAATTTGCATAAATGCATACATATGTTATATTTCACTTTTTAATTGTTACAGCCACAATTAAGCTTTTCATTTTATAAATAAATTTGAAATGGCTTATTTACAAAAAGTGGTCATTACTACTTCCTTTATACATATTATGTTAACGACTCTTCTCTTGCGTCAGTCACAAAACAACACTTGTACTATTTCCCATGAATACTGTTTTATCACTGAATAGACGACGTCTGAAGATTCCAGATGTATTGAGTTTTGTATATACTTGTAGGAGAGAAGTGATATATATGAAATTGGAAGTGCCTAATTCCATTTTAATAGTATAATGTTTTATAATATATTAATTCTTACTTTAAACATGTATATTTTAGTAGTGTTGCAGGATAAATGATCTAAATAAATATTTAATGTGAACACAGCATGATTATTTATTTATTTATTTGACTGTACTGCTAGACACAATAGTGCTTAATAAAACATATCTCTGGCCCTCTCTTTCTTGTTAATTATTCCATGTCACTAAGTTTTTATTAAAATTCTCTGTCGGTACTGTGGCATTAAAATAACACATGGGAGACGTGTCTCCTGGTTCAAAACAGGACTGTAAATTTGATGATTTCATTGAGTTTAAAAACATTCAGAAGTGATTTGAGAAAAAAATTAGAGAGACATGGAGTAATAAGAGTTTTCTATTTCCAACCAATAATCATGTTTTGTCGACGACGCCTCCACCACCATGACCACTGTGCTACTTTGGAGAAACAGGATGACCATTAGAGCTGAGTTACAATCGGAAAGAAGGACTACTAGAGAAATCGACACTGGACAAACATGCTTATGTGGAGGGCCATCGGAAGAAAAGTTTGGAATGGAGCCAAGATTTTAAGAATCTAAAGCAACGGTACTTAGAGAAAGTACGAAGAACCGGCCCACTTGGATTGTTTGACGGACCCCATGAGTCAGACCAATCTGGAAATTTCGCCCATGTGGATTCCTCTGATCAACAAGGAGGTTAGCAATAATGTGTAATTAATTAGGTACAGATAGTTTCTTCTGCAGCAACGGTCCCAAGATACTTTGTGGTTTCCTGTATCACAAAGTTTCTCTTCCTCCTGCAGTGGTAGTATCCTGTCTTCCTGCACAGATGACGTTAGTTGTACGTTATTATCTGTTTCATGAAATTCCCACGACTTACAGGCTCGGATTGAACACCACTTTCTTTCTTTCGATGTGATTAAATGTCAATTACTGCGTTTTCGGTGCTGGTCGTTTTTTTAGAGTTTTATGAGTGGTCCTATAATTCTTATTTTATCATATTTCTATCATCTGCTGTCAAGACCTGTATTCAGGTGGATATAATGAGAAAGTTGAGTGACATATGTTGTGACGGGATTGATCGCGGGCGAGGGTGTGATACTGGACGATTCTTGGAGGGGAGAGTTTGATGACCGAGCGATACTGGATATCATCGATTTTCTGGACCATCGATTTTCTTTGATCGTCGATTTTGATCACCGATTTTCTTTAGTCCATCGATTTTGAGCCCTGTTTTCCTACCGTAGAGGAAAGCATCCCCGAGGCTGCCGACCAGTCGGTACAGCGCGCTTGTATATGGCATATGGCTAATTTTTCTTCAGGACTAATGCTTCTTCTCATAGTTGTGTTTTGTTTTGTCATATCACCTTCCACTCTTCTTAACAGGTAATCAAAAGTAGACATCGACATTCGAAAATAACAAACTATGAGAAGAAGCATTAGTCCTGAAGAAAAATTAGCCATATGCCATATACAAGTGCGCTGTACCGACTGGTCGGCAGCCTCGGGGATGCTTTCCTCTACGGTAGGAAAACCGAATTGTCTGAACGCACTCCACTACAATACGTGCGCTACTGGCGACCTATTCGCTTTTTTTAACGCATCGCATCTTTCGGTTTCCAGTGACAAAACCAAATGTCATCAGCGACCGATTCGGTGCTTTTACCGTACACGGTCGACAGCCGTTTCATGTGAACATTCACATATAACGTGCATTGCCACTGTGGTGTACGGTAAAATAATCGATTCGATAAAACGGCCGATTCGGTGTCGTGTGAACGAGCTCTTACGGACCCAACTGAGTAGGTACCTCTCGCATGATGACGGAAACTGAGTCAGTTTCCGACACGTCGTGGTTTTCTTGTTTTTAAAAAAGGACGATGGAAAATGGATGCGGCAGTAAAGAGTGCATTTTTTAAGCAAGACTTCTGTTTGCAGTATCAGGTAGATAAATCGATATCACGGGGAGTGAACAAATGGTTTTGATAGTGCTCTTTATAATTTTTATACTAACGTTTTTCTTTAAACCAGTTTTGTACAGTAGAAAAGTACACTATGCAGGCCTCATGTATAAACTGACGTAATTATTGTTAGAGGTATATTTGTCTGACTTGAATAATCACATACAAATTTGTAGTTGCGTCCTTTAGAAACGTGGACCTTAAAACGAATTAAAGCGGATGAAGCTCTCACATTGTAGCGCTTAGCGAAAGTAAGAAGATACAAGCCTAAGATACACAACATTTTAATTAAATAAAGAGGCTCTAATTAAAGTGAATGAAACTTACGCAAAGCAGGAGCTTTTTTGTGTGTTTTGTGACTTGCGCAGTAATTGGTAGGCAATAATTTTTTTTGACATATTAACAATAGAGAAAATTATATAGACCATGTCGGTACGGAGTGTAGCTATAGTATAATTTTACTTCGTTTCCGTCTTCTTTCATTTGAAAATATTTAATAATGGCCATGACCTCTGCAAACCCAAGAAAGTTTTTCTTAAAGTTTCCATTTATAACATATTGAATGCATATTTATAAAAATTTAATTGGATGGGGCTCAGGAGAGTGTAGCCAATATGACAGAGTGCTTCAAGTAAGAGAATTCAAACTTAATAAACAACGCCTGATTATTATCTCTGAAGTTCCCTCGTGTCTTGTTTTGTGTGATCGTAACATATCAGAACATTGATTGGTTACTTGGAGGATAGGCACAACACTACACAAACGAACTTTCTTGGGCAGAAGTTGACAATGGACGTGACTGGGGAGTATTTATATATACACAGAAAAATACATCCAGTTAAGAGAACATACCCGAACACTGTGGTCAATGTGATGTCTGCAAAATCACCTATAGCAGTTGACAGTTTAGCCACATCACTGATGGCAAATGAAGAATACCACAAGCAAATAAGTCCGGCAGTGAATGCACTACGTCTTTTAGGAATGCTTCCACTTGAAATGTCATCAGATGGTAAGTTATATAACAACACTTCAAATGGGTTTCCACATGTGTATTTCGGTAGTAAATAACTGAAACATAGGACAGCGTTCTGCAAACTTTCTTCGCCCTCGGCACATCTTAATTTGACAAAGACATGTCGGCACACCGGAAAATTTCGCCTCGCAAAAAAGGGGTTCGTAAATATACATGGCCATAAATGTGTATCTATTTATAAATCTCTGCCCTATGAATGTCTAGTTTTGTGGAAACAAGATATAGCACACGTTCAGTTAAACTATCCATGATTATGTGTGTGTGTGTTGTGAATTATAATTACGAAATATAAGATACTGCCTTTTTCTAACTTTAACGTGCAATTTCTTTTACAAATTTGTGGCTCACCTGTAACCATGTGAGGGCACACTTGTTGCGGAACACTGACGTAGCACATAAAAAATTAATTTGGACTGAATGGTGTGACTGGCAGGCAAATTAGGAACAGAACCGTAATTGTCGTAATACAAGGAAGGATGCTCCAACCTTCAACCAAAGAGACACCAGTGACAATGTTCCAAACATGCTCATAAATGTTACGTTTACTGTGATTGCATTTTCTTTACAGGTGTACCATCATTCCGAATACTCTCCCCTATCATGGCCTACTCTGTATGTATATACATCTTCAAGATGTTTACTGCGTACAACATGATATGTACTGTCGTGTTGCCAAGTTTTCTCCGAAACGACGACTTTGTGAATATTATAATCAATTGGGTCTCTTTGATTGGCTTATTTATTTTAGCATTCTCGTCCATTTTGATGTGGCTGGATTCTTCTAAATTTATTCTGCATATGAAGAAATGGAGTTATTTTCAGGTACCTTTACCAAATTACCTTATAATCGCGGTAAAGATTGTCAGTAATGAAATACTACCTTAAATTTCATGTTACTGTACATGAAACTATAACAGCGCTTTCTTGTGGTCCGGCTTCTTAGATATTTGATTATCTCTCCAGCTCTCCGTCTAATGCTCCAGTGTGTTGTGCATTTTGAAGGCAAAATTTAACGTATTTTAGTAATTAATTTGGATGGTGATATCTTTACCGATAACAATCCGAAGTATTGGTAGGTCTTCGGGTCAAATTGTAAAAACATTAATTTTCATAGAAGTTCTGCATAAGTTTTTAAAATTAAGTTATATAATCTTTAGGGTCTACGAAATCTTTTATCTTCAGGCGTACTGGTAGCTGCCCCGACCACCCAACTGATGAAGCCTGATGATCGCTGAGGAAGGGACAGTTAAGGACGGTCATTCGGGTCTATATAACATGTAAAAGTAGAGTTTTTTTGAATTGTAGTTAGTGCATCAGGGAAAATTTGGGTTCTGAAAATAATGTGTAAATTGCTGACCTGTACAGTGACTCCAAAGTCACAGATTTCACGAACTTTCCCATCGACACGTTGATAAAAATAAACATAGTGTATACCCATGCAGTATAAAGTAGGCAGGGAATAATGCTTAGAAATGCTGTACTAATAAAAATCTCCACATCTGCATTTCAAATTATCTGTGTAACCAACAGCAGTTTAGAACATAAATTTGATGTCGTTAACATGCTTTCCCGAAAAATTTAAATCCTTATAAAACGGATATGCTTCATTTAATGTAATAAATAAGAATGGCAACTTAATTTATACTTCAAAAATGTACGTTGTAACAGCCTGTTAAGGCCCTCTATGAGTTTTAAATTTGACTAATTTATTTTGTAGTTTCCACTTTACTTTACTTAATCTTTATCCTATTTTACCCGTAGATGTCGAGGTTTTTTTATTTATTCATTTGATCTGTTTGTAAAATAGTAGGACTCTTTAGATGAGTGATCATCCCATCGCAAGGCCTCTACCTATAAAAACACAGAAAGACGCGGACAAACGACCATGCCTTGAGTGGGACTCGAACCCACGGTCCCAGCGGCCAGGCGCACGAGGTCCATGCCTCAGACCGCGTGGCCTTGTAGTTTCTGAATATGTATTAATTTATGTACTGATTGAGCTGAAGTGTTAATTATTTTTAAATGCGATAAAATACGTTATTCTTATAATCTGTGATGTTTACTTTAAAAATCTGAAAGTCCGCAAAGAAAGTTACGTTAGATTTGAAGATCTTGGAGGCAGCGCATTTCGAGAATCGATGCGACTACCAAAGATTTCTTACTTGTCCGTCGTTGAGTTGGATTTATGAGTTGTTCTATTCTGTTGGCGTCACCAGATAATTCCTCAAACTCTACAATGGAATTGCTATACCTGATAAAATGTTGGCAAAGTTCGGCAGTTACAATTTCATTGTTGAAAGGAGGACTAATTACAAACCACATCGCAGTGTGTAATTCGTTATTCATGGGGAAAAAATAGAAACGCGTACAGACTTTTACTTAGAAATTCTACGGGAAGACGCCATTTCAGAGACAGAAGTAAATGGGAGTCGAATATTCAAATTTATTTTTAATAGGGTGTGAAAGTGGGGGACTGCATTCATCTAGCTCAGAATGGGGTTCGATGGCGGACTGTTGTTAGTACGGTAATAAACCTTCAGTTTCCATAACGGACTGGGAATTCCTTGAGTAGATGATCGACTGTTAGCTTTTCGAGATGGACTCTACTTGATGGCGTTATTACAAATTTACACCTTTATTGAGAAGGAGTTACAAAGTGGTGGGTATGGGACAATGTAGGCCCTGCTATGATGCTTTGCAAATTTTGTAGATATAAGTTCTCGTGGTCCTAGTCATTGGAGATGAGTTACTGGAGAAAAATGACAGTTGAAAACACGATTTGCTGATCACGAGAAAATTTCTAGCTCTAATTGCTTATTTCTCTAGTACGGAATGCCAAGCCATGCCCTCTTACTTGTTCTGTATACAGGGTTTGTTCCGGGAGGTGACAAGGCAACAGTTGGTGCTGGGTATCAGGACACGATGCCTCATTTTCTCCATCATCAATGTGTTAATGGGAATTTGTTCTTTTGGAATCAACATTTGCATCCTCGGCACGAATATTTGGCCACTGCCATACTATTTCTTCCTAAGTACCATACTAGGTTCTCATGGAGTATATAGAGTGGTCTCTTATTCTACACTTATCACCGCTGGACAAAGTCTCGTCTTGTCATTTAAGGTACGCGGAGATTTAATTTAAATATTTCATTTGAAATATTTTGTAATTCGCATGTTACATAGTATTTTGCAATATTTGAAAATGTTACGAAGCACATCCATGACATGACACCCATGAGGTAATTTACTTTATCACATTTTTGAAATATAAACCTGAAGTATTTAAATATAACATTAGTGCAAGATTTATAGGACTAGACATGTCTTGTTCCAAATTTCGAAAGAAATAACGTTTTTTGTGTTGCAGTAAACGCGAGACAGTAAATATATTTACGATAAAGAGGTATTGTTTGGAAATGTCTTTGTCAATATCAATGCAATAATTCGATGCTCACATCTCCATTTCCTACATATTTTGATGTTCTGTCCTGCCTGAAGGTCAGTCCTCTGACAGCCTCTACCTAAGCACCTGGTAATGTGATTGGAAAACACAATGTGCACATACATTTTTTCAAAAACAATCACACGAATTTATAGTTATAACATAAATCAAAATGACACGTGAAATGCCAGCGGATAAATGTGACATTTCTGTTTCACAGAATGATGAGAAGCAAGGGAACCTTTCTGCGTATTTGATAGGAGAGTACAGAGTCCTCTGGCTGCGGCTGAGCCAACTTGCTTCAGAAACGGGTAAGATGCATGTATAAAAACTGTTTCCAAGGAAAATGACCACAGCAGCACATACGTCCTATGATGGATTACCCTTGCCCGATCTGGAGGTCAGCTGCCCGCAGCCACATCAGGAAACTGCAAGAGTTGCAATCCAAGTGTAATTGCATTGCAACTAACGCGTCTTGGTACGTTAGTAGCAGGCAAATCCACGAAGATCTGGGGATCCCGCTCTTTGCCGACCACATCAGAGCACTAACTGAGAGATTTGACTTAAAGTTAGCTGGTGTGGGGAATCCCTTAGTCCTCCAACTCGGGAGGCACTTGTGCCGAACGAGGGCTGTCACCCAAGGGAAACCGAGGGGGACTGGTGTTCAGAAGGCCAGCCGAGGCTGTCCCTGAAAAGACGGCCAATTCGGCGCAACGAGTGGTCTGAATACTCGGCTACTCTGACTGAGGATGTCCGTGCTTTTCCTCAGGTATAATTCTAGAGGGGCTACCCCAATCACGAAGGCCCTCAGCTGAAGTAATCCCCCCCCAAGTCGCAGAGGTCTTCAGCCTAAGCGACCGCACCCCCTTTGGGTTCAAACTCCAAAGAACCAACCAACCAACCAACCAACCAAATTCCTTCGGGCAAATTGCCTGACGGGATAACTTCCCATCAGCAGCAACAGACCCTAGTTTGAACAGTCGCGGCTCGACGACAAAATCTCCGTTAGCGTAAGAAAATTCCCGTTTTAGTTATAAGGCTCTGTTTACCATTTCCAGCAATGCGTTTCATACGCAGGAATGGTGTTACCTAGCAAGGGACGATGTCTTGCGCGTCCGCAGGACCGCGCCCTTAGTTAGCGTTTTGGTTGGTTCATTAGAATGTCCACTGTTTTCTGACGAGGTTTCTAAGAACGTGAAACTAGCTGTGCAACGAAAGGAACAACTACCCTGATACCATCTGTTACTTTATGGTGCAAATCATGATACGATCTGATTGCTGTCCGAGTGTATTCAGCGTCTGTAAATTTCTGGATCTTCGATTTATCCCTTCGCTAACGTCACTCTGCAACATTGCTTTACAACCCCGAAGACCATCATCAACATTTTTGACGATGTCTGAATTATGCAACGCACGGATATGGGCGAAAATGAAGTTACGCAGAACTGAAATCGGGGTCAGCTGTCAAAAGTAGAGAAGGAATTCTTTATGTTGACCATCCTCTTGTGTGGGTTGTTTATATATGAACTGAAAGACTGTCAACACAACACGTAGATGTAGGCATGATAGCATTAATATATCTAAAAACTACGCTATACATTTCGACCCTTGTGGTCATCATCGGGGAAAAACTCATACAGAATACACACCTGATTATGACCATGATGGTTAAAACATGTAGAGCAGCTCTAAGATAATATATTCGTGTTTTGCCCATGCCATGTTGACGGTGCATTATTTCATGCAGGGCAGTTTTCATAATTTTTAAATATGCATTATTAGTCCACAATTTATTTATATTCGTTCAAAGTAATGTGAATTGAAAGACAAGTGTTTTCCAATATTGAAGGAAATAGTAACGAAGTTACTTTTAAAAGTAACAACCGTCAGTTGTCCATCAACACTGGTGCAACGAGGAACTCGATTCATAACACTTTCCATTGAGGGCAATGACATGGTCTGTGATATGGCATTCATTTCTTGTGAGGTTCTCTGTATGAGATTATATAAGTCTGCTGGACGTGTTAATACGCGCTGTACTTTTCAAACAGTCCCATAAGAAGAAATAGCAAAGAGCAGCAATTTTTTGAGCCAGAATACACCACTGGGGCTGTAAACATCGTAATTTGTTTATACAACGTGCACTATTTAGATAGCAGCCCAACTACAGTCACGTCATACGCACAAACATTACATCAAAAGCAGTTCCACCCCCATGTAATGTACTCTCTTAACATCCACCATGACACTCCAGATAAGGTCACACTCGTTGCTAGGCCGCTGCTCACGCCAGATGCGCAAAACCTATGCGGATGCGAACGCTTTGTATTAGCGAGCAGAACGTGTGTTCATTCTCGAAAGTTTTATCGCATCGAAATTTTTTGCTGTTGGTCTTGAAGCATTTGGCATTTAGCAAAACTGATAAAGAATTAGGTATACGGAATTAGACATCGCACTGATTGGTGACAATATTTTGGGACCCAGAAAGTGTTTGTAACAAGTGCCCATCGAGTCAAAATGCAGGCCGTATCGATTTCAAGCACCTCAGCACCTGCTATAAGGTCGTATGTTCTTTGCATTCTTCGTTCTGTGCGTGAAGGGGTTCATGTGTACTGATTAGAGCGGAATTCTAAATGAAACACTGTTTTTTATGTTTTTAGGTGTCGTGATGGGGAAAGCTACTGTATTTTTCCTGTCGTTACATCTGTTCGCTCTCACTATGTCACTCTACGGCTGTCTGGCTGGAATTCTGACCAAGGGCCATTCCGTAATGGAGTCAGCTGGACTAGGAATTGGCTTCATGTTTGGAGCTGCCTCTTTGTACGGAATCTGCAGCATGGCTCACGAGACGACTGCCACCGTAAGAGATAGCATCAACTGGGAAAATAAGTATCGTAGCAAGTTGAAGCGAAATTAAAGAGGCTCTTATTCTGGTTTTGATCGTTAAATGAATTTAACTACGGCCCAGCGAGGTCTGTTTTTAGATTTCGATTTGATGGAGAGTTAGGTAGTATGTGTGGGTATGGAATTCCATATGGAGGTTGTTCAGAAAGTTGTGTATTAATCAGTTACAAATATGTAAACGGTGCTAAACTTTGAGATACCATCTAGTAAGTTTAACTTTATCGGAATTTATGTTATTGGAAATTGTGGACTGAAATTAATCATTAGCCTAAATTTTACAATAATTAATTTAATTTATGTTTTAATATTTCGGCATTTTAAGGAACGTACATTTTTACCAGAAGTTGTTATCAAATTTACACGCCTTAGTAGCCAACAACCAAGAAATGACTGTGGGGTGGGTCACTTTGGAGGAATGGAAGACTAGTTCAGATCGCATCCGGAAATTAAGAAAGAGAAAATTTTTCAGAACCTTCGGTGAAGTAGGTTATGTGTGGTATTACATTAATTATATCTCAGACAAAAAAGCTTTTCAATCAATAATAATTACTGTGTTTGTAACAGATTGGAACAGAAATACAAGAACAGCTGCAACTTATGAGTTCGCACAGTTTGCGTCCTGAGACAAACATTCAGGTGAGCGTTCTCATTAAACGTTACAGTAAAGACAGAAGACGAAAAAGTTTTATAAGTCATAACATCAAATAAATGGCGCAGAAAAATTGTAATGAGTTGATAACATAGCAGACAAATTGGAAATACAATTAGGCATTACAGTGTGGTCTACCGGGATGATTATCTTACAGCCTTTTGGTTGTCTGCCATCATTTCAGAGGAACATGCTGGCTACATTTGCAGGGAGTATATTTCTCAGAATACGTTAGGAAACCAGACGACTGCATGACAACAAACAAAATACCACAATGAAACTGCTATTTCGCATTATTTATACATTCCAGCAGCTTAAATAAATCTTTAAGCGAGGTTTGTGTCTTAAATAAACATGACTGTATGTACGGCCCTGCCCGTTCATACCATCTTCAACAATAAATAGCAAGATGAAATCAATGTACTTACGAATACATTAAAAGCTGCGTAGTATTTCACATTGCTATATTATTGAATTTAAAATGGAATTAGACTGTTTACGATTTATAATATACATTACAGGTGAGGGAATTCCTTCAAACAATATCGATGAATCCACCGCTGATATCTGTCCTGGGTTTTGTGGTCGTCAACAAAGGAATGGCAAAATCGGTGTGTAAGTTCGGTATAGGTCGCGCGAGAAAAGCTGGCACTTGCGCAAAGGACTGATTTTGATCGTACGAGATGGACCCGTCCGAAGCGCGCAATAGAGGGGTGTCAGCTTCCGCTGGTTTGTAGCTCTAGTTGTGTTTAGATCGGGTCGTCACCGCAGTTGAGGCTGTGTGACCCCCACTACTAATGAACTCCCCTCTCTCGGCTTACACATCGCGCATTTAGGTGCCACGACTACTCGCGTGACCTATAATTGCTGTATTAAATGCTGCAAACGAACATTGTTCAGACACAACACAACAACGATTATTTTTAATATCACTCAGTTTAAAATTCGTAAGGTTAGTTTTAAGAGTTTTATTTAAATTCTGTTCATACAAGAAAATTCATGCATGTGTAAAGTAATTTGGCTAATTTTAAATCAGCGGATTAAAAATTGTCCAGGAATAAAAACTAAACTTGGCTAGACATTGAATTTTCAATATCGATAGAGTAGATGATGGGAGGGATATGTAGTACGAATATAAGGGATGAGAAATGCGTACTAAATTGTGATCAGAATTTCAACATAGAAGAGAATATTTGGGGTATCGATTGGATTAGTATTGCTCAGGGTGGGGTCAAATAGGGCGTTCTTGCGAACATGCAATGAACATTTTGGTTATATACAAGGCGGGAAATGTAATAAGTACCTGAGCGATTATTACCTTCTCAACAAGGTTACTTTCCTGTGTGGTTAGTCGAAACGATATACAATTTGGCCACCAGTCTTCCTGTTATAGGAAAGGGAATGAAGAAAAACTTCACACACAGAAGACAATGTACAAACGTCGGACGGAAAGGGGGACTGGTAGAAGGAAATGAAGGCTTCAAATTATAAATTCGTGCTGAAATAATTATTTTAACAATTTAATGCTGTGCATAGTTAAATTGTTTCGGCTACCATTATTAGAACAACGTGAAATTGTTTGGTACTGCTTATACAGCAAAAATGATTTCAGAGGCTTTTTGTTAGAATTAAGAATATGCTTTGGAAATGCAAAGGCTCGGTACAGCTGGTACTGATAGTTCCACCTGAAGTATTGAACGTCCTCAGTCAGAAGAATTTCTTTTGATATTTGGGGCACAGTAGTGGATCCAACTAGTTAGACATTTGTCAGGCATTCAAACACTCTTTAGTACAAAAAATATATATTTACATAAATTTGGCCAGATGTTTTAGCCTAAGGAATTGATATCCGTATGAATATAAAAGCACATGAAAGATGATTTCCAGCACAATAAATTAAATTTATTGTCATGTTACACATGTTAGATTATAAAAATTGAAAATATTTCAGAAAAATGCAAAAAAATAAGATCATGAAACATACGAAAAATTTCCCAATTAACTGGAAACAACATTAAGGAAGAATAAAAAGATAGGAAACTAAAATAACAGCACACAAACCTAGGAAGACAAGAGGGAGTGGGAATACAAATCAAGATATGGCATAAAACCATAACAGAACAAATAACCTATTGTTATTAATTATTATTCGTATCATCATAATTAGTGACGTATATTTGATATAATCAGGTGCAAGTAAATTACGTATGTGTTGTAATAGCAGCTTGTTTGAAATTGCGTGCGTAAAATATATATCTAAACGAAGGGTTTCTTGTTTATAAAACCCCTATTACCTCGCATTTCGTTGTTTCAGTATGCATCAGCTCTGGTAACTTACATGATAGTTCTACTGCAGTTCAACATGGGGCAACCTGACGGGAAGTGTGACTGTAATGTGACCCATAACGGCACAGAACCAAGAATTATTTACTGAGATATAAAACATGCTATTAACTGCACTCCAGTAGGAATTTCTGTGATTCGTTATAAATAGAAGTGTGCAAGCCTAATTGTAAGAAAGTAAAATTCGTTAAGATATGATCCAGTTACATATAAATATTGCATTTGGAAATTTAAAATCTTACTGTAATTTGTTATTAATAAAAGTTTCCCGCAATATCGGCCGTGTCAGTTTGTTAAAAGTCTAAGTTTCAGGAGCCAGTTTCGTCCACATTATCAGGATTTGTTACAAAAAGCCTAAAAGTTAACTAAAGACGGATTATTGGCACGCG